CTGAATGTAATGAGTTGAACTCTTCAGGGAATTCAATTCTGGCCTCTAGGCACCTCCTGTGAACTTTTGAGCAATTTTGGAGAAGTTGGATTTTTGGGTGAAAAACTGACTTTTTCGATGATGCCGGCTATGGAAAACGTTGAAGTTTTGGGGGCATTTTGTAAAAAATCAAAAAGTTTTCTTTTCTCACTGGATACTGAATGTAATGAGTTGAACTCTTCAGGGAATTCAATTCTGGCCTCTAGGCACCTCCTGTGAACTTTTGAGCAATTTTGGTGAAGTTGGATTTTTGGGTGAAAAACTGACTTTTTCGATGATGCCGGCTATGGAAAACGTTGAAGTTTTGGGGGCATTTTGTAAAAAATCAAAAAGTTTTCTTTTCTCACTGGATACTGAATGTAATGAGTTGAACTCTTCAGGGAATTCAATTCTGGCCTCTAGGCACCTCCTGTGAACTTTTGAGCAATTTTGGTGAAGTTGGATTTTTGGGTGAAAAACTGACTTTTTCGATGATGCCGGCTATGGAAAACGTTGAAGTTTTGGGGGCATTTTGTAAAAAATAAAATTTGTTTTCTTTTCTCACTGGATACTGAATGTAATGAGTTGAACTCTTCAGGGAATTCAATTCTGGCCTCTAGGCACCTCCTGTGAACTTTTGAGCAATTTTGGTGAATTGGATTTTTGGGTGAAAAACTGACTTTTTCGATGATGCCGGCTATGGAAAACGTTGAAGTTTTGGGGGCATTTTGTAAAAATCAAAAAGTTTTCTTTTCTCACTGGATACTGAATGTAATGAGTTGAACTCTTCAGGGAATTCAATTCTGGCCTCTAGGCACCTCCTGTGAACTTTTGAGCAATTTTGGTGAAGTTGGATTTTTGGGTGAAAAACTGACTTTTTCGATGATGCCGGCTATGGAAAACGTTGAAGTTTTGGGGGCATTTTGTAAAAAATCAAAAAGTTTTCTTTTCTCACTGGATACTGAATGTAATGAGTTGAACTCTTCAGGGAATTCAATTCTGGCCTCTAGGCACCTCCTGTGAACTTTTGAGCAATTTTGGTGAAGTTGGATTTTTGGGTGAAAAACTGACTTTTTCGATGATGCCGGCTATGGAAAACGTTGAAGTTTTGGGGCATTTTGTAAAAAATTAATTTTTTTTTTTTCTCACTGGATACTGAATGTAATGAGTTGAACTCTTCAGGAATTCAATTCTGGCCTCTAGGCACCTCCTGTGAACTTTTGAGCAATTTTGTGAATTGGATTTTTGGTGAAAAACTGACTTTTTCGATGATGCCGGCTATGGAAAACGTTGAAGTTTTGGGGGCATTTTGTAAAAAATCAAAAAGTTTTCTTTTCTCACTGGATACTGAATGTAATGAGTTGAACTCTTCAGGGAATTCAATTCTGGCCTCTAGGCACCTCCTGTGAACTTTTGAGCAATTTTGGTGAAGTTGGATTTTTGGGTGAAAAACTGACTTTTTCGATGATGCCGGCTATGGAAAACGTTGAAGTTTGGGGGCATTTTGTAAAAAATTAATTTTTTTCTTTTCTCACTGGATACTGAATGTAATGAGTTGAACTCTTCAGGGAATTCAATTCTGGCCTCTAGGCACCTCCTGTGAACTTTTGAGCAATTTTGGTGAATTGGATTTTTGGGTGAAAAACTGACTTTTTCGATGATGCCGGCTATGGAAAACGTTGAAGTTTTGGGGGCATTTTGTAAAAAATCAAAAAGTTTTTCTTTTCTCACTGGATACTGAATGTAATGAGTTGAACTCTTCAGGGAATTCAATTCTGGCCTCTAGGCACCTCCTGTGAACTTTTGAGCAATTTTGGAGAAGTTGGATTTTTGGGTGAAAAACTGACTTTTTCGATGATGCCGGCTATGGAAAACGTTGAAGTTTTGGGGGCATTTTGTAAAAAATCAAAAAGTTTTCTTTTCTCACTGGATACTGAATGTAATGAGTTGAACTCTTCAGGGAATTCAATTCTGGCCTCTAGGCACCTCCTGTGAACTTTTGAGCAATTTTGGTGAAGTTGGATTTTTGGGTGAAAAACTGACTTTTTCGATGATGCCGGCTATGGAAAACGTTGAAGTTTTGGGGCATTTTGTAAAAAATCAATTTTTTTTCTTTTCTCACTGGATACTGAATGTAATGAGTTGAACTCTTCAGGAATTCAATTCTGGCCTCTAGGCACCTCCTGTGAACTTTTGAGCAATTTTGGTGAATTGGATTTTTGGGTGAAAAACTGACTTTTTCGATGATGCCGGCTATGGAAAACGTTGAAGTTTTGGGGGCATTTTGTAAAAAATCAAAAGTTTTCTTTTCTCACTGGATACTGAATGTAATGAGTTGAACTCTTCAGGGAATTCAATTCTGGCCTCTAGGCACCTCCTGTGATTTTTTGAGCAATTTTTGGAGAAGTTGGATTTTTGGGTGAAAAACTGACTTTTTCGATGATGCCGGCTATGGAAACGTTGAAGTTTTGGGGGCATTTTGTAAAAAATCAAAAAGTTTTCTTTTCTCACTGGATACTGAATGTAATGAGTTGAACTCTTCAGGGAATTCAATTCTGGCCTCTAGGCACCTCCTGTGAACTTTTGAGCATTTTGGTGAAGTTGGATTTTTGGGTGAAAAACTGACTTTTTCGATGATGCCGGCTATGGAAAACGTTGAAGTTTTGGGGCATTTTGTAAAAAATCAAAAAGTTTTCTTTTCTCACTGGATACTGAATGTAATGAGTTGAACTCTTCAGGGAATTCAATTCTGGCCTCTAGGCACCTCCTGTGAACTTTTGAGCAATTTTGGAGAAGTTGGATTTTTGGGTGAAAAACTGACTTTTTCGATGATGCCGGCTATGGAAAACGTTGAAGTTTTGGGGCATTTTGTAAAAAATCTAAAGTTTTCTTTTCTCACTGGATACTGAATGTAATGAGTTGAACTCTTCAGGGAATTCAATTCTGGCCTCTAGGCACCTCGTGTGAACTTTTGAGCAATTTTGGTGAAGTTGGATTTTGGGTGAAAACTGACTTTTTCGATGATGCCGGCTATGGAAACGTTGAAGTTTTGGGGCATTTTGTAAAAAATCAAAAAGTTTTCTTTTCTCACTGGATACTGAATGTAATGAGTTGAACTCTTCAGGGAATTCAATTCTGGCCTCTAGGCACCTCGTGTGAACTTTTGAGCAATTTTGGTGAAGTTGGATTTTTGGGTGAAAAACTGACTTTTTCGATGATGCCGGCTATGGAAAACGTTGAAGTTTTGGGGCATTTTGTAAAAATCAAAAGTTTTCTTTTCTCACTGGATACTGAATGTATGAGTTGAACTCTTCAGGGAATTCAATTCTGGCCTCTAGGCACCTCGTGTGAACTTTTGAGCAATTTGGTGAAGTTGGATTTTTGGTGAAAAACTGACTTTTTCGATGATGCCGGCTATGGAAAACGTTGAAGTTTTGGGGGGTTTTGTAAAAAATCAAAAGTTTTCTTTTCTCACTGGATACTGAATGTAATGAGTTGAACTCTTCAGGGAATTCAATTCTGGCCTCTAGGCACCTCGTGTGAACTTTTGAGCAATTTTGGTGAAGTTGGATTTTTGGGTAAAAACTGACTTTTTCGATGATGCCGGCTATGGAAAACGTTGAAGTTTTGGGGGCATTTTGTAAAAAATCAAAGTTTTCTTTTCTCACTGGATACTGAATGTAATGAGTTGAACTCTTCAGGGATTCAATTCTGGCCTCTAGGCACCTCGTGTGAACTTTTGAGCAATTTGGTGAAGTTGGATTTTTGGGTGAAAAACTGACTTTTTCGATGATGCCGGCTATGGAAAACGTTGAAGTTTTGGGGGCATTTTGTAAAAAATCAAAAGTTTTCTTTTCTCACTGGATACTGAATGTAATGAGTTGAACTCTTCAGGGAATTCAATTCTGGCCTCTAGGCACCTCGGTGAACTTTTGAGCAATTTTGGTGAAGTTTGATTTTTGGGTGAAAAACTGACTTTTCGATTTCGATGCCGGCTATGGAAAACGTTGAAGTTTTGGGGGCATTTTGTGTAAAATCAAAAGTTTTCTTTTCTCACTGGATACTGAATGTAATGAGTTGAACTCTTCAGGGAATTCAATTCTGGCCTCTAGGCACCTCGTGTGAACTTTTGAGCAATTTTGGTGAAGTTGGATTTTTTGGTGAAAAACTGACTTTTTTCGATGATGCCGGCTATGGAAAACGTTGAAGTTTTGGGGCATTTTGT